AACCCAAGAAGGTTGCCATGAACCCCCAGCAGATACAGCTAGTCTGCTGTGCATTATGCAGTGCATCAGTAAGAAAACATTGGACTGGAGCTGCATGGGAAGGTCACAAACTCCGATGTTTCACCACTTAATATGCCTATTGTCTACATCAAAATCATTTGGCAGAATGATTAAACACAAAAAAAAAAAATCTGACTAAGAGAAACCATCAAGTTATGCATGAAAAATGAGATTATAGCATCAGACTGAAGGTCACTGCAAATATGCTGACCAGGAAATCACTTCAAAGTTAACTACAGTAAATATAGCTTGGACCTGTTGCTTGAAAAATATGCATTTTCTATTTATGTTCCATATCCTCTTTTTTATGTTTACATTCCAGAATTCAGGCTGAGAGGGCAGAGAGAGAGGTGACAAGTTGTAATGAACACGTCTTATCTGCCAAAAAAATGAGCCTTCCTGTACATTTGGGAAAAAACTTGGGAAATGATTGCCACTTTATCCTGGACTGTTATATACATACAGTTACCCATATGTAAAATCAAGAGTGGAAAACTAAAGCAGCAATTAAGCCATGAGAATATGGTCAGGTTACTGAAATAATTAAGTATAATAATCTTACACTACGGACATGCATGACGCATAATATCTTAACACAAAATTGTAATGTCTCAGAAAGGTAATGTTTCTATTTTCTATACCAATAAGGACTATCAATGCGTGTGACTTGAATAGCCACGACTTCAGACGTATCTTATGTACTTAGCAGGCAAGAGTTTGATAGAGTGTTAGAACACAAAGTAGAAACAATTGAAAAAGATATTATAATGGCAAAACCAAAGTAATACACTGACTGTGCTGGGCAGCAGAGGGAATGTGCATCCCAGCATAATCCAAAGTAAGGTTGGAGGCAGTCTAAAGCATAAAATGGTTATTGTACCTTCACTAGCAAGCAATTGCTTGCTTGATGCAAACACTAGCAAGCAATTCCAACCCCTTTAGATGCTATTAGGACCTCCAGTGATTGCCACCACGATGCCGAGCAGTACTAGTCAGTTATTTTATTTTACATTTTTAAAATAAAAGCATCAGGAAACTAGACAGCAATCCCATTTTTACATTACATTGACCATCAATTTAAAAGACTAAAAATAGTGTTTACATTTCCGGTGCAAAAAAACAGTTTCATCAAAAATTAATTAAATTTCTCACTGACAAGCTGAAATACGTGACAGCGTTCAGGAGTGCTGCACCATTGATCCCCTCCATCTGAGAAGGTCAGAGCCACCTTCTGCTTTAGTGAGAACCCCAAAACCTCATCTCACACTGGTAAGAAAACAGTGTAATTCAGCCTCTTGGTTTTAGTCTACGCTCTATTTCTATACTATATTTCAGTCTAGTAAAACACAAGGCTAGCGATAGCTGCTGCATGACCAACCCTAACTCCTCATGAAAATTGATTTTAAAGTCTTTTCGTCTGTAAGTCATCACTGCCCCAGCTAATGGGGCAGACCCCACCATTAGGTGATGGCTCAGGACAAGGTGGAGGGACCCCACACCCCAACAGCAGCAGCATCCTCCTCCCCCAGCCCGTGCAGCGCCGGCTGAGTGACTCACACAGATCGAAGCAGGGTCCCTTGCGGTCGCCAGCTCTTCTGCAGATGCAGCTCCTCTAGAGAAGCTGTTGAGTTGCCAGACAGGTTCCTTCTGGGACCAGAGATCTCCCCCAGGGTGCCAGGTGCTCATCTTGCACCCTCACCAAGAGGTCCACCCCCTGCTCCTCCTCCTTGTCTGACAGTTCATGCAGCTCATGGCATTGACAGGGCTTTTCCCTCTCCACAGGGAGTTGGTTAACCCTTTCCTTGGAACAACAGTAATGCCATCTTTTCCATCTAAGGCATCCCGGTGCCTTTGCTTCCACTGCTACTGCCCCAAGTTCTGCTGAAAACAGCAGTAAACACACCCTCTATGTCTGTACCTGATGTTTTCTGCCTCAGCTTTCCCTGCTAGACAGCTCTGTTTCAAAAATACCCCTTACGAGTAATAAAGTGACCTTCCAACAGCTTCTCCACCATTACGTGATAAGCATTATTTTCCATCTCTCTAAAGTTGCTAGTATAAGACCAGTTTTACAAAGTTAAAATAATTTACCATATAATCCTCAGCTATGTAAAGGTTATTGCCACAGAAAATTATTTGGCTCAGGCTTTCATCAGTGTTTAAAAAAAATGACTACTTAAGTCTGCAAATTGAAATATAACACCTAATTAGGAGTCCTCTGATTAATCATTATTCTTTGCCATCTTCGATGTTGCTTTGATAAATGAGGCTTAGGAGTCTTACGAAGTCTCTTAATTACCAATATTCCAGAGGGCTAAGAGTTGTATACAGAGTTTCTCTGGGTATGTGGAGCAATGGAAGACATCTATATTATTTGTGGCTCTAAAATGCAGACACACATATACATCAGCTAACCATGATGGCAGCTCCACAAACAAATGAGGCACACTGCTCATGCAACACCTGTCCAAGGCAGCAGGTAGCACACACTACACTTCTCATGAAAGCCATGCAGTATCGAGGGTTACAAGACTGGTATCACATTCAGGAGATGAGGCCTCAGAGCCTAAAATTCTGAAGAGACTCCTGTTGTCACCATGTGAAGCTTTAGAGCCTGAGGATATATCTCCTAAACTACCTACAAAGATGGCATTTAGAGCACATCCAAAGGACTACATACCTAAACAAAGCCAACAAGCCATTGTGCCAAAGGAGATAAACTTTTCTTTGTAGGGGAGGAGTGGAATAACAATGTCATAAAGCACTGTGGAATAACAATATGGAACAAGCGGCCATCCTCATAATGATTCAGGCAAGCAACTCCAACTGAGCCATCAAACCTATTTCAGTTCTTTGAGAAGATGTAGCATGCATTTCCAGCCAGCTCATGGTGCAGAGCACAACGGCCTGCAGTCAGTAAACCAAGCAGACCCATTTCTGCACACACTCCCTTCCCTACAGCGCCATAGGGAGCTGCTCCAGCCAGTGATGAAGCTAACTGCGCTGCTGAGCAGCTTTTGAAGCACCTCCCTCCCCGCTCTTTTTTTTAATTATTTCTGAGTAGCTATGGGTTGAAAGCAATACTCTAAGAAGGGTTAAACTACCAGAAATCAGGGTTGCAGCCCACTGGGAAAGATTCAGCTTTACCAAACTACGAATGTCAGCTTGCAACAGTTTACACAAAAATGGGATAAAGCTGTTTCCCCTCTTCAGATGTGCCCTCCTGCTTTCAGAAAGTCATGGCAGTTCTCTCATTTCCAGCAGGGACATCCTCCTGTGTCTTGTGATACTGGCTTCAACTTTTAAACATAGACTCCCAAACTGTTTGCATCCTCCCTCTCCCACCAGGTTAGCATAATCACAGCTGGTTAGCACAGCAATCTACAACAAGAGCACCAACTTCCCAGCATCCTGGTCTTTAGTGGTGGGAAAAGACAGATATTGAACAATACAAACTATACCTATAAAAATTAAATTGCAAATAAACCCATCATCTAGCACATGCAAGTGTTTGGGTATCTGATGAAACCACCTCTATATCCAGTGTAAGAGATTAGCATACAGCAAATCAGAAAATGCAATTTTGACCTTGAGCAGTGTTTGTGGACTGCAGGATTTCACAGTACCATATTTGTACTGGCCTGATTCACTAAAATTCTTGGAGAAGGCAAGTGGTCTCAAGTACCTTTCAAAATCAACCAGTTATTACTAAGTTTCATTTGGGAAGATTTTTGCTCGTAGTTGGATAAGAGGAATACAAACTAATTTTGGGACCACACTTTTGGAGACTGAGATGGATCTGCTCAATGTATCTACTATGTAAGCCTAACTGCTCTTTCTACCTTATAGGTCAAAGAAATACAAGCAACCTTATCTGTAGCTAAGCTTTGCAAATTTTAGTGCAGCTTTCTTCTGAGGATTACTCTTTTCACATCCCGAGTGTGCAGACTGCATCTTTTGGTGATGCACGAGGGCCAAACCACACAGCTCTCTATCTTCTTTTGTAGCAACCAGATGGAAAGAAGTACCTGGGAAAATCTTTGACAAACCAGTCTGCTTAACATAATCTATCCTGAAAAAAACCTCCTGTAACTCTTGGTTTCACTTAACCAAGTAGAACAGAATATAACCACGGCTGCCAAAGGCTTTGGCAAGTCTCATTTCTCTGCAGTCAGTGATCTGCAATCTGATAGCATCTTACATACTCAGGAGTTTTTTCTGGCATTTGCAGTACAGCTCACATGTACAAATACATTTATCATCTAGGGGTGAGAATGTTGGAGAGAGTATTTTATGCAGTGTAGAGATGAAATTGACTTCTCCAACCTAACCTCACCTGAAAATGCAGCAAACCCATTTCCATGGTTCCTATCTGGGGATTACCAGACATTGCAGAATTCCAACATACAGATATAAAGTTCCTCTGGCTGACTTAAAAACTAAACATTGCTACCTTTTCCCTTTCATATCTTCAGGTAATTTGTTACACATACAAACAGAGAGAATCTGCGCTGGAAATCTGAATCAAACATCCCCCATCATATAAATAAATATTTAGGCTGTAATGTAAAAGTTAGTCCTTTTAGCTTTGTGGGAAACTTGATCAAGTCTGAAAAGTCCCCATTTAGGAGGCAAGACTAGAGCAAAGATTTTTTCCCTGCTCATTATTCCCAAGTTTTATGTATTTTTGGCTGATGGAGACAAAATCAGCAACAAAGATTATTGAAAATATTTTATGCAGCTGCAGCATAGTCAAACACAATCCAGCCATGGAATTGCAAGCTTACAAATAAACTTGCAACAGGTTTGCGTAATCCAGAGCTCAGATACCTCAACTTCTACAACACACTACACATTCAACAGTACTGACACCTCATCGAAATACATTTTTAAACTTTCAAATTGCAAAATGCCAATACAAATTATGGACGTTTACTCACACAGGTTACTTTCCGGTAAATTTGAGCAGCATTCTGGCATTCTGAGTAAGGGTATTCTGAGGTAGCCATTTCCAACATGCACATTCCAAAAGCATAGACATCCACGGATTCATCGTAGTGTTCCTCATACATTTCTGGGGCCATAAATTCTGGTGTACCTACACAGATGTGCACAAAAAGAATATAAATCTTTTATAAAGTCTAAATGGCTTTAACCACAATCTTTTTTGCCTATAAGAAGTGTGCCCACTATAGCTGTGTAAGGGTGCACGCAAGATTATTTCAGGAGAGGGAAGTAACTAGAACAAGCTCAAGCATCCTCCAGGGAAGAAACCCAAAGTCAACACACACACTTACATACCCATGGCTTGGTGGTAATAATCTAAGGGGGAAGAGGGGGAAAAAAAAAAGAAAAAAGAACAAGTATCAAAATTTCAAAAATGAACAAGAGAATGAGATATGGCACATTGCCTGACCATACTGGAAGTCATGAAATGGATTCTTTTTCTGGGTGGAGGGAAGGATGTGTACAGGCTTGTGGAGGTGAAAAGGAGAGAAGAAACGAGAACTTTAACTCTTGTTTTTATCAATGCAAATTTGCATTTTTTTTTCCCCTCCAGATACACAGCAACCACCCGACAGACAGACAGCACTTTGAAAGCAAGTAGTATCACAAATCACCTACAAAGTCATGCACAAAACATTAAACATAATGCTATCACTGGTTTAGTGGGGCTAATCAATGAGGCTACTCACAGAATAAGGTCCTACTCAACAGGGATTAGGGTGTCAGAAATCTGATGCAACTGGATAAATATTAAGCAAAGCAGTGTACTTACTGCTTCATAACAGGAAGTTGCAGCATTATGACAAGTGGTGACTTAGAATGCCTGCAACATTTGCATAGCAAACTACTCTGAAAACCGTGGTCTTATAAAGCAAAAGGGAAAAAAATTAACACTTAGGTAATTTATTCCAGGAACTGTATCTCATAATTTATGCTTAGGAGTCAAGACTAATTTATTTCCTTTTTACATTTAGAAAAGATGAAGGAAGAGAGATCAATGCAGTCATGTGTTGCAGGAGAGGACCAGTGAGCTGCAAGCACCGGGATGCCAAAAGGAGCGTGAGAGGTCTCGAACCACGTGAATGACACGGACAAACTCTGCCCGTCCAGCCCAGCAGCAGCCGCCTCAGCACCTAAACTGCCCCCCAGAGCCCCAAGGCAGCCCGGTGGGTCCATCAGTTTTTTGTTATGACATCTCTACATCAGCAACAAAAGCAGAATTGTAATTAAAGTAACATATACCGGGGAAAAATAGTTCTTGTGTACGTTTGGGGACTTGACATAAGCTTTTTTTTAATGTAACATAAACGACATCTCTCAAAATTAGGGTCTGTCAGTAAAAACTCTGCTTTCACACATTTTCTGAAGTAGACTTGGCCTAACTCACAAAACAAGTCTCAGCGCAAGCATTTCTGTAAAATTCATTTTGTAAAATTCGGGATTGATCTCTCCCCTTGTTTATGTTCCTTCCACCTCAAAGACGCTCATTCCTTCAGCCTTTGTAAATCAGCCAGACCCATGTTGTGAAAGCTTAACTTAGCTAAGTTAAAAAGTTAAAAACTAAGGTTTTTCTCCCAGTTGTCACACAGGTGGTGGCTGCTGCTCTGAAACGGTTAACAACTGCCATAGAGAATGTTTTTTGGAGCTGCTACCTTGTTTTAGAAGGAACAAGACTCGGAGGCAGGAGTGAATCTCATGAATTATGGAGCATTTAAAGCAAATCTGAAAAAGCTATAGCGATAGTCTAAGAAGCAAACTGAATTCTTGACACCATTCCAAAATAGCATGAAAATGACATTTTTCCCCTATCCCTTGGGAGTGGGAAGGAATACATACAAGTATCCTTAAACAAAACAGACCCCCTAAATGTAAAGCTGCTCACAATCTATTCAATTCCTTTTGGCAGAAGGAGTTGTGCCCTGGCTCGGCTCCCTTGACTGCAAGGTCAGACAAGCATCAGCGATGGCACGAATACAGCAAGGGAAAAATTGGACCTCAGCCATGCTGACTTCATTCCATTCAGACTGATGTAAAATTGCAGCTACTAATATTCCTTTAAAGCTACTACATCTATGGAGGGGGCAGAATTACTCATCTCACCAGTGTTTTCAAGCCCTCCTAATTCTTTCCTTGGAACAGCACTACTCATGAAAAAGATAAGCTTGGTTATATTGCCAAAATGAATGCAGACACCTTGCCAGCAACCTGCAGCACTTTTCAGTACTGATTTTCTTTTAGACACAAATGTGCTTTGATGGTGTTGTGGTGACAACTGGTTTTACAAAAACTTGTATTGATATTACTGACATTATTCCATTATATCCCATGGATAATTGTTATACTGCAAAAAAATTATGTGAAGAAATACTGACCCTCAAGAGAAATCAACCCACCAATTATTAGAAGCTAAAAACTAGAGAAACTTAACAGACATAAACCAACATGATTTCACTAAAATCAACAAAGGTAAGCAGACCCACAATAGCCAAGCACATATCCAAAATTTCTATCATTTTGACTTCAACAATACTGGGCATTAAGGTCAATACTTTTGTACAAATAATTGTAAAGAATTATAATGTGTGAAAATTTGAGATACCAAAATAATTATTTAAGCAACTACTGCTTGAAAGATAGGATAATATTTTCAAATATAGTAAGGGAACAGTGGTTGTCACTATCAGTTTGCTAACTCTAATTACCTAGAATCTAATTTCCATTTATATTGTAAGCTGAAATACAACTATGTGCATGATAACTTCCCCGACTTTCAACATCATTTCTCAGGAATTTGCAGCTTCCTAGAACCATCACCTACAGATCTGAACAAGGGAGATTTGCTATGGAAGCTTGGGTAAAAAACACAAAATGTTTGAGAATTCAGGAAAATATTACATTTACACAGAAAACATTAAATTTAACTTTTGCAAGGAAACAACAGTCATTCAGAAAATGTTCTCCCAGTTTAAGCAAACCCAAGTTCTAACACTCCTCACACAGGCACCACCTAAAGGCATCAGCTATTGCATATTCTAGTGGAAATTTCTTTTACTTTCATACCTACTGATTTTTAATAAATGGCAGATGTTGTTTCAGCAGAACTCTGCCAGGATGGCGTTGAGGCAGGGACGAGCTCTGCAGTTGCCTGCAGAAGCAGCCTGTTTTGCTGATGCCCCAGTAAATGGGGATAAGGTGTTCCAGCCAGACCAGCTCCCCTACGACCTCTCCGCAAAGAAGAGAAGCCCAGCTCTGTAGGGCACTACTGCCTCTTCCTTCAGCAAAAATCGCTATCCCAGCATCACTGGAAGCAGAAGAGCTCCGGGGGCTTTCCCAAGCTTTTACAACACCCCCTTGTTAGAGAGAGAGCAGGGTGTCCTTTCTCTTCCCTCTCCTCTCTCTTTTCTTCTCCCCCCCTCAGCAGGCACTGAGCCTGTTTTCAGAAGAATGATGTACATAAGCTGCTGAGAACTCTTGTTGCTCCTTTTGAAGGAGAGAAGAGAAGGATTTGTGGATACCAAGTAATATTTCAATAAAAAAACAAACAAGAAAAGTGTTTTATCATTGTGATACAGTAGGAAGGAGAAGAGGAAGTCATGATACCATTTCCTACTGACTGAGATTTTTATAGTGGTATAAAGGGAACAGTCACAAAACCACTTTAATCTCTGCTACCAACCTACAAGTGAAAAACCCACTAATGTAAAATGTGAAAGAAAAATATTAAAAAGACAACCACCATACCAACAAAAGGAAGCCAAGGAGAGCAGGAGGATTACCTATTACACTTTTGGCAAATGAAGCTCTCTTGAGCGTTGCCAGACCCAAGTCTCCTATTTTCACAGATCCAGTTGGTCCAGTAATAAAAATATTGTCACATTTTAAGTCTCTGTGAATTATTGGTGGAGTTCTTGTGTGCAAGAAAAGAAGACCCTTCAGGATTTGTCGGCACCAACTACGCAGGACTTTTGGTTTCATCACTTTAAATCTCTTCAGATACCTAGAGCACAAACATACACAGAAGCGGGTATAAAGAAAATGAAGTGTTATTAGAGATTCTAGGGGCTTTAACAGCTGAAACTCCATTCTGGATAAAAGCCCCTTATTAGATGTCATAATAGCAGCTCAGAAATATCACAAAATTGAAAGAAATAGATCTTTTCAAAGGAGGAATTAGAGCATTCATTTTTAGGGAGAAAGATAATAAGCATTTTTGGTGCAAGTACAACCAATATTTGCAAGTCTAATAGTCCAGCAATTCACTTCATGCAGAGAACAGCTTTAGAATATGTTTCACATATTCAAATCAGAAGAATACTGAAGTTTAATTTTAACCACAAGACTTTGACCTCTGTACCATGCACCTGCATTTTTTCCATTTACCTAAAACACTGATTGGGAGGGCACATTTTGGAAAAATGTAAAACCTGCTTATACACTGGCAGATTAGCATACTGGATATATGCAGTGATGAGTACTGCTCCCATTGGGGCTGAAAATCTGTTCCAGAATTCATGCCAACTGTTTTATGTCAACCTTAACAAGATTGTCAGTACTAATTAATACTGTTTAGTAGATAACCTAGAGCACCTTCTGCTTCAAAACGAGATTCTACCATTCAAGTGCTATTCTATCTGAATTTTTTAACAAAACATGCAAATACAATCACAAAAGAAATCACAAAAATACACCCTGATAAATTAAAATGTCACAGGCAGAAGAAGAAACACACCAGAGAACAGTTTCTAGTTGCATAACTGAAACGGGGGAGCATGGAAAGAGAGATGGAGGCCAAAATTTTTCCTGTCAAATCAATGCAGTTCAAATGCAGGGACAAATGACAGACACCAGAGAACAGCTCAATTTTTTTCTTTTATCTGGAGATGCCCTTTTTTCAGAATATGAAAGTAGGATTTTTCTAAAAATTTCCATCGCTATTCTTAGCCTCCTCACTAGGAGCACAGTACTTACGTCTTTAGTGTTCCAGAGGTCATCAATTCGGTAACCAGCACAATGCATCTTTTGCCTTTTACACAGGATTCCCAGAAGTCATAAAATCTCACAATGTTTGGATGCTGTAGACCTTTCAACATTTCTGCTTCCTCTTTAAATCTCTGCCTCTCTACTTTAGTGAGTTTTCTGTCCTGTAATCCAAAATAAGACATTATTAATAGTGAACGGACAAAAATAAAATAGACACTGCATTGCTAGCATATTCAGAATTTCAGATTTGTTTTATGCTTGTATCAAGAGCAATTATAAAATATTTTATGTAAGAGATGAGCAGTGTACATGAACTAGGGCACTTGCCTTAAATCCAGTATCAAGAAGACAAAAACTCGCCTCCAAAGAGAGAGATGTCTGTGCTACACTATGCTACATGACAGCATTAATATTTCAGGCAATATAAATGCACCCATGGCTCAGTGGATCAACACACAGCTATTTACTTCTTGTTTTGGTTTTGTGAGGCTCGTTATCTGAGAGATTAACACATGCAGGATTTCATTTCTGGTATGAATGTCCTCACAGCTAAGCTGCTGCTGTCCTTTACAGCTGTGACTGCTCACCACCTTCCATGACTGCTCCTGTGAAGTTACGGCAGTGACCAGCAGGTGAGCTCCCCCTGTAACCACACTGGGCTGTACAGCCCATCCCATTTCTCTAGGGACAAATTAAAACAATATCCCCCTCCAAAAAACCAAACACATACATTTTTCTATTTGTTTGCTGTTTTGCCTAATTTTACAGACTTTTCTTTAAAGTTGACAAAGGAAAGATTTAAAGCTGTCCTTCAGCCTTTTCCGTAGGCTGCACATTGGCCACATGGAAATACTTATTCTTTTAGATTAGAAATGTGACGAATGTCATGTTCTACTGCTCTGGTTTTCCTAGAGAAATTTAGGAGTATTTACTATAAACTCCAGGCTGTGAACTGACCCTGCAAGGAGCACACAGAGCCCTTCTCCTCCTCCCCATAGGTCAGCAGAAGCCTACTGGGCTGCCTGGACCTCATTAGCAACATGGAGACCCCTACAACAAGCAGCTCAGATGCACGCTCTCGTCTCTTTAGATGATGCAAAAGAGCAAAATGGGAGTTTCACTGAAGACAACCCCATCATCGTCTGGTTTGTCTCCCCTGCATGGTTGGTTGGGCTGGGAGCACTTCCCTCTGCTGCCCTAGAAATGAAGCTTTTTTGTTCTTTAAAAAGGCACAGTTGTGTAATTGTTCTTACAGAAGCAGAGGCTCACAAATCACTAAGATTAATTAGTTCATATTTTAACATCAGACATTTTTCTTTTCTTGTTTCACTTAGGCATGCTTATAAGAGCAAATATGTAGTGAATTAAATTGACATGCAGCTGATTTGATGCAGAGGGATCGGGCCACTGCCATTTTGATAGCCAGCACTCATCCGCAATTGCAAAGAACTCAATACGGGAATGAGAATTTCTGTGGCTACAAACAAGTCAGCTTTACACAGAGACTTCATAAGAGGAAAACCCAGGATGAAATGATGATGCTTTCACTCTTCTTGGAAGACAGAAAACCTGCTTCCCAGCAGCGTGCACCGTGGATGCGGAGGAGCTTCCCATTTCTCTTTATGTTTTATAGAGCAACATCAAAGCTAATGTTGCCCCGAGCAACAGCAGCCATCTGGGCTGGCACAGTGGGGTACCCCATGCAGACTGATGAGTGGATCCCCAGGGGCAGCTGGGAGCACCCCATGCCCAGTGGTGTGGCCAGGGACAGGCTGGCAGCAGCACGCTGAATGCCAACAGCTGAGAGCAACTTGCTGAGAGCAGTTGCTCTGTAGCAACTGCATTTTTTCTAAGTTTAAAAAAAAAAAAAAAAAAGACAAGGAAAAAAAAAGAAAGCAGGCTGTCTAATGAGCCACGACAGAAAAGCCTGAGAATTGCTGAATTGCTTTCAAATCCATCACTTCTTCCCCTACTGCTGAGTTTCCTCTTAATTTAAACCCTGTAGAATAAATCAGACACACTGCTATTAAGAAGGAAAAGGAGCAAGTCCTTGTATGAGACAGGAAGAGCAGAGTGTGGGCTAGCAGAGAAAGGAAAGTGACACAGACCCACCAGTTTTTTAAAAACCTTCTAATTTAAAAAAAAAAAAGTAATACCATACCCCTTGACTCTCATTTCCAGATTTCTGAGCACTGTGAAAAATTTTCCACTGCTACTTTAAGGGTAACTTTTAAAAATATCCATCAGACATTGCAGACAATCATATTCATAGAATAATAGAATGCTTTGGATTGGAAGGGACCTTTAGAGATCATCTAGGCCAACCCCTCTGCAGTGAGCAGGGACAGCTTTAATGAGATCAGGTTGCTCAGGCCCCCATCCAACCTGACCTGGAACGTTCCTAGGGATGGGGCCTCCACTACCTCTCTGGGCAACCTGTTCCAGTGCTTCACCACCCTCACTGTAAAAAATTTCTTCCTTGTATCTAGTCTGAATCTACCCTCTTTTAGTTTAACACCATTACTCCCTGTCCTATTGCTACAGACCCTGCTAAAAACTCAGTCCCCATCTTTCCTATATGTCCCCTTTAAGTATTGAAAGGCTGCAATAAGGCCCTTCTCTGCAGGGCTGCTCTCAATACCTTCATCCCCCAGCCTGTATTGATAGTGGGGGTTGCCCTGTCCCTCGTGCAGGACCTTGCACTTGGCTACCCAGACAGTTCCCGAGCAGCGATCGCTGCCCCCCCCCCCCCCCCCCCCCCCCCCGCCTCTCCAGCTTGTCCAGGTCCCTCTGGATGACATCTCGTCCTTCTGCCATGTCAACTGCACCACTCAACTTGGTGTCATCTGCAAACTTGCTGAGGGAGCACTCAATCCCACTATGTCATTGATGAAAATACTGAACAGCACTGGTCCCAGTACAGACCCCTGAGGGACACCACTTGTCACTGGTCTCCATTTGGGCATTGAGCCATTGACTGCTACCCTCTGGATGCAACCATCCAGCCGATTCATTATCCACCGAACAGTCCACCCATCAAATACATATCTCTGCATTTTAGAGTGAAGGATGTTGTGAGGGACTGTGTCGAAGGCTTTACAGAAATCCAGACAGATAACATCTGTTGCTTT